AAATGTACTTCCATCGTTATCGGAGTTTCCCTTAGACAACAGGACCGATTTTTGGTTGTTCGACTAGTCGCCTGTCATCCCCGGATAATTTTCAGAGCGCGACATCACCCTATCTAAAATGGACCGTTGGAGGATTCATAAACCTATATCAGAGTCATTTGAGAAGCTATTGTAAATAAAATGTTTTTAGAGGGGTACTAAAAAAAATCAATATAATTTAATTAAAGTAAAACTTTAGGCACGGATGGGTAACGGAATATCACACACATAACAAAGCCGTCCAGAAGAACACTGAAAGCTGTCAACATACATCAACTTTCTCTCCTCTTCTGTTATAGTATTTATAATTTTGCTTCCGCACTATTGAAGATAGGGAAGCTTGTTTTTCTTTGAAATTTTGTAAATATTTTTATGCTCCGAACCAAAAATTCCTACTCGCGTTTTAGGTTATAAATATCATGTAACTAAGTTGGTTCCATTTCTATTTCAGTGGCTTAATGTTACAGTGTGGCCATATGGGGTCACTTTTTGATTGGTTGGCCATCTTGGGTCATCCCTTGCTACCTGCTTGCTCCATAGCTACCTCAAAACTGTTAAATTTTCTTATTTTATTAGGAATATTTTAGTTAAGAAATTTATTTTCGCTGTTTTATGGATAGATTTAGTTTATTTATAGGTAGTTTTTATTGAATAAATATACGTTTTAGTGTTTAAAGTGATATTTTGTTTAAAAGCTTAATTGTACTGTTTTAGTAATAGATTCATTTTATTAACAGGTAGTTTTTATTTAATTTTTATACTTAAAATCGTGAATATACTCTAATTCTTTACTTTATTTTATTATTTTTTCTTTTAAACTCAGTAGTAATGAAAGAAAATGATGGAAATGAAGTTTGAAACTTGGTTGTATGAAAATATTGTTTATAGTTTGAGGCTACTAGCTAATACTATTTTTATCTTAATTCTAAAATTGAAATTTGGTTTTCCTTTATAGTTATTGTTACTTTCATCATTAAAATATGAGTATAGTTGATGACCCTTAGCTTTATTGAGATCTTTAGTAACTAAAAGTTGTTGTCTTTTAAATAAGTGATATGGTACTCATCTTGATTGATTTTTAAGAAATAGATTATTATGCTGTAAAAGTTTTGAGATGAAATATTATTTTCCTTATAATTGAAATTCTAAAACTGACTAATGTTTATTCTAGATGGTTCAACCATCATTGAAATATCATCAACTACACTCATATTTTTAATATTGAAAGTAACAATAACTGTAACTATAAAGGAAAACCAAATTTCAATTTTATACTTGAAACCACTGACTTCAAAATAAAAATTGTATTGGCTAGTAGCCTCGAATTATAGAAATTATTTTCTATAACCAAGTTTCAAACTTAATTTCCATCTTTTTCTTTTATAAACACTGAATTTCAAATCAAAATTAATAAAATAAAGTAAAAAATTAAATGATTAAGTCATTTTCGAAACCTATATGATGAGCAAAATCAACTAAGTAAGAGGTGATTTAATAGGATTTCTCATAGAAAAAATGAGTTATGTTGATGTAGAACTCATTATTAATTGTCACAATATTAAAGATAGTATTCTTAAGTTGTTAATTATATTTAGAATTAAAACAAATTTAATTAGTAGAAATAATTTCCTTCATTTGTCTGTTTTTAGCAGTAAATCTGTAAATTTATATGTACATCATATATAAATTTAATTTCCTTTGTAAATAAATATATATTGTGTGTTTAATCTTTTTTATTTTTTATTACATTCCTTTGTTGATTAAAAATGTTTTCTTTTTCAAGTTAAATTGGATAGCTCTTCAATCAATTGATAATTGATTATATTTTATTCTTACAGTTTTATATTTCACTATTAGTTTTTTTCTTGGTATATTCTGTGAGATAAAATTAAAAATATATTATAGCCAACCATTTCTAATTTCCCAAAAAAGTAATGAAAAATAAATAAAACAAGGGAAAGCTTAGATTCTGGACTAAGATAAAATTCAGGCGTGACGAACATTATTACAATTTATCATATTATGATTATTAATACACTTCATTGATAATAGGTATGTTGATATTGACAAGTAAATAGAAAATTTCAAATTATACAAAAACTAAGTTATACCACTCCGAAAGAAATACTTCTCCTCTACCACCTTTAACAGGCTTATAAGTAAAACAAACAATTTTTTTCTATTTCAGATGCAACAAACAATACCTACATTATGGTAAGAGGTAAACCATTTTATAAAAAATATTGTATTATCAATGATCAGAATGATTGATTATATAAATCAAGGATCAAATTTTGAACTATTTAAATTTGTAATAATAGTGGATTTATAATAGTTAGTGTTATCCAAAATCGGTCTTGGTCATGCACTTTGCAATACCAAGATTAAGGCTGCCTAACTGTTGCAAAACCAAGACCAAGACTGGTAAAAAAAATTCTTTTTATGAATAAAAATTAAGGTGAAATAGTCACTAAAACTTAACAATTTCAGTTAGCACATGTAAAGAATTGGTATCACTAATATCGTTTGGAATTTAACTATCGATTTTTCATTTGGGCTTAGTTAGGTTTCCGATATCTAAAAAATTACAGTAATATCTATATAATAATAAGCTAAAAGGTAACTGCAAGACTTGCACAAGACCAAGACTAATTGAGTGTGCATGACCAAGACTCATCTTGGTCACGCATTTGGGCAACACTAGTTGGGGTGTTCAGTCACAAGTAACAGAGTAAAAACAAATAAATTATATTTATTTAATTTAAATTAAATAATGCATAATTATTAAATTTTCAATAAATAATTTATATTTATTAAATTTACATTTATTTGAAGTTTTGTTTTTATCAAAGGAGAATATTAAGAAGAAAAATAAAAATAGTTTCATGGTTGCTGATTCTGGTTTTCCAATAAAAGTTTATTTTCCCTCAGTTTTTGTTTAATGTTTTAATAATTATATAAATTTGTTTGTGAAATTTGCCATTGAGAGAGTTAGATTAATAAAATGGAAATTGAAATATGTCAAAGTTTATTGGAACATATTTTAAAAGAAGTTGAATAGAAAAAAAACAAATATTGTTCTTTGAATTTATTATTTATTTTCGCATGATATAAGTAAGTCATATGCTTGATTAAACTTGCCCAACTTCAATTCTAGCTCCCAAACCATTCTAGTTAATAGTTTGTTGCAATAATTACTTTTTAAATTGAAATAACAAAGAGAGATAATTCAAAAATTAGATTCCAGCCGACCCAAGATGGCCGCCACATCGGTATGACCACACTGTATTATTAAGCCACTGTACTTTCTATTAGTTTGTGCATAGTCAAATCCATGCAACCTTAAATCACCTGGGTATATCACCTACCCTTTATCCGATTTGTATCAATTTTTCAGAAATTGTGAGGATTATTACTTAGATGGTTTCATATAAATTCCATCTAGTACATTTACTTGCTTATGGACGCGTAAATGTATTTTCATAGATATGCCAATATTGGTAACCATTTTCCAAATTCATGCCATAAGTTCCTATCATGAAGATTTGTAAATCAATATCAGTTTCATGTTTTTCTTGTTGCATGTTGCATTGTTAAATTAAAAGGACAAGGTTATTAAGAATGAAATTTTTTTACAGCATATTATATACTTAGCTGTATAAGGAAGAATATATATTGATCCCATTTTTAAAATTTTAAAGTTTTATGAGTCTTGTTTTATGTCAATTTTCATAATCATTATTGAACAACTTTTCTTCTTAAGATGATATATTGAAATACAGAAAATGTATTAATAATCATCCTCATTATTTTAGTTTCCACTTTGGTTTGATATTTACATAATTACCGGAGTTAGGGACGATTTTCATGAGATGTCAATCGAAAAGCAAATTCAAGATATGGCCACACAGATAAAACTGAGTCTTAAAAATTTGTTAATCATAGTTTTAATCTCACTATTAAATAGAGAACAACAAGTAAAAAACTTAAAAATTACGAGACATATAGTCTCGGTGATTTCCATTGGATTCACTTTTACATTTTTGGAAAATTTTAATATTGAACAAATAAAAATCCAAAATGTTGAACAACAAAAATAAATTTAAATTGGATCATTTCAAATAAATTATCCCATAAGTGATAACAACTCAATTCAAATCTATAAAGAATCTCACATCTTTTGAAGTATTTTTCTCTATTAATGAAAGAGAACATTTAAATATAAGAAATAGGTTGTTGTGTAGTGATACTTGAGATACTTGAGATGCGTAGTTGATATTTTAAAATTGCTATAAAAATGTACGTTCAAAATAATTATAAAGGGTGTCCCATAAGTAAAATTTTTATAGGAGTAATAGCAAACATCAAGGCCTACAAAAAATTCATATAAACAATGGCCATATAAAATTTTCTTCAAATGAAAATGAAGCTTGTCCTTGTTAGAACCATTTAAAAAGGACTTTTGAGAGGCTAAACTTGGCTAAGTTCTGTTTTGAAAAAAAAAAATCATAAATTATTGGCCATTTTTTTTTCATTATCTAACTATATTACAGATACTCCACTTTAAAAAAACTTCTTCAGTTTATTAGCTTCAAGTCCATATTAAATAAATTGAGGTTTATTAGGCAAATTCTTAAGATTTACCTTAAGTAGTGTGAAGAAATTATGTCAATTTTTATCCAGTCACCCAATCTGACTAGTGCTCGTGTTTTCAGCAAAAATAACTACAATTAACTGTTGCAAAACATTTTATTTGTTGTTTTTTCATGAACTGGGATTAATTTTAATAAACATAATTGCCTAAATGTACTTTTTATTTATAAATAAAAATAATAATAATGATTTTTTAAATATTTTTCATGTAAAGTATTTATGAAACTGTGTTTTTCTCCCACATCTCTTTCATAGCAGCTGATCTGTATTTATAAGTGACACATTTAATGTTTCTAGTTCTAAAATTTATATTTAAAACAAAAAAAAACCTACTGATTCCTTCAATTATTTCCATAAAAATGTAAATCTTAGGACTAGAAACATAAAATTTGTTATTTATAAATACGGATAGTATATATTTTAAATGTCTTTAATTTCATCTAGTCTACATTAAATAATTTAATGAAATTAAGTTTAAGGATTCATTTATTATCATTTAAATGATTTGCCTTTGCTCAATTAGCATAACATCATCTATTCTATATTCACAATTTCCACTACTGCTACCACGTTTGGTGTTGTATGTGTTTTGATAATTCTACCATGACGGAAAACAGGCATTAAGTAAAGAAGCATTAATTATGGTTCATGTCAGATTTTTTGGGAATTAGGACCAGTATACATTTTTAGATACACCGTTCTAATCTTTATTACTACAATCTTATACAAAAGCTGGTTCCTAAAATGTTGAATTGAAATATTCAAATTATTGAATTGAATTTAAATAGCCCAATTGAAGGATATTTCATAATAAAATAAAAATTATGGTGTTTAATCTTTATACACAGTTATATTTTACTATTGTATCAAAGTGATATGTATTAAGACAGGTAAAACATAACATAAAATGTATTAAAATAATATAATAATAAGATTAGTTCTTGCAATTCATGGTGTTTAGATTTAAATAAGAAACTAAATGTGCACTAATATGGTTAAAAATAATACTACTAAAATAAGCAAAAAGCCCGAAAAGAGACATTATGAATGGAACAATCCAAACTATGGAGGCACATAACTAAAAAGAATTTAACAGTTTACTAGCCAACTTTAATTCAAGTATCATCAGGGCAGCTGCTTCTTAAAAAGAATAATAATGAAATTTTGTCAGACTAGAAAAGAACAAATAGTAACAGATATAATTTACCAACTACTGAAAAAAATATTGATAGCAACAAGTTTTCTTGATAGCATTGGAAAAAAAAAAATACGAAAATTTTTTTAATATATTAAAAATAATATTAATATATTATTAAGCAGTGCGTGTATCACTTAGATTTCAATATAAATAAGAGAAAGCAAAAATTATTTTAGGTACAATATTAATATATTATACCATCATTAATTTTTATGACAAATACAGACCATTTCGTATTATCCATTTCATATCTGTATCATCTGTGAAAAGTGTGTTAAATGAATTTTTGTGAATTTTTACGGACATTACCAGAAAGATAATTTCTCTTTCCTTCTTTCTTTGTATCTAATGGACTAAGTTATGGAGCTATTACAACGATAAACTTTCCTTTGTGAATTGTGATATCATTTTTCCAGAAATTTGATTTTTGCACTTAACACATTATGCACAGGTGCTACAGATATATAAGTTAGCAAAAGTTAAAAATGTGCATCATCTACATGATAAAATCAAATTAAAAAAATTATCTTCCTTATATTTTTAGATTGGCCCTCAAAGAACAGTCTCATTAAATATATTCTAATGGTAGGATTCAGAATGTAAATATTTTTTTTTACTTTTAATTTATTTATGTAAACAAGAGTTCAGGTCTCCATAATACAACAGATAAATTATGATTCTTGGAATATCTAAAATTTTGTCATATAAACAAATTAGACATATATCAGTATTATTTTCCTGCAGGATTCATCTGCTTTTGCATACTTCAGTCCGTAGTTAAAATGGTTAAAGGTTTCATTTAACAGTATAAATTTTATTAAAAAATATATTTATTTTATTGAATATCCAATTATTTATTAGTAATTTATAATATTTTAGTGAAATCAACATTAGGTACATAATGAAAACAGTAAATATAAAAATCACAGTTATTAATGCTCATTAAGAATGAACAATTTACATTATTATAACATTTACATGCTAAAAACTATGTTGCTCTAAATTTCTCTTTAAAAAACTGTATTTTACCTTATTGTATAAAATTAAACATTTCTAATTACTGTCATTTACTTTATGAATTCTTAACACAAGTCCATGAAGAGGAGAGGAAGTAATAACTTTAGGATTCAGCTTCAGATTATCAGTACATTTATTCATAGGACTTAATTCGAACCTGTATTTTTCTAATGACCTTGCCAACAAACTAGACATAACAGCTTCGGCAAATCGTTTACCTATATCAACAAAACAATAAATAAACAAGAATAATTGTGAATAGTATATATACATACATATTTTTTGTCTGCCCAACAATAATTTTTAGGGACTTATGAGTAGTGGGGATTGGTGGTGAGTAGTGATAATGTTGCCATGACCTGCAGCACTGGGGATAAGCTACTGAGGGAAACTGGATTCTATATTATCACAAGGGATGATTTGTTCCTTCAGATCTTAAGCAAGGACAACTAGGTAGTATGGATATACTAAGAACTTTTCGTGTTCTGATGGAAAGAATTAGTGGGAGTTTATCATTTTAATGTCCTCAATAAAAAGTAATAATAAAAAAAATCATTTTATGACTGAAGAATTAAAATAATAAATGGTAGAAGTGTCATGTTATTAAGCATCATGTTATGGTAGATTCATCTACTGAAAATGAATATTGTCGAGAGACAGGGGATGATGTTAATAAATAAATTGCTTTTCTTTTTGTAATACATTGAGTTGGGTATATTTATTATTATAATTGATTATATTTTGTGGAATTAATAGTTCTTGAGATGACTTGGGATGTTTTATTTATTGCATAGTCCACAGCATATGTTATATATATATATATATATATATATATATATATATATATATATATATATATAATTTTTTTTTTTTTTTTTTTTTTCTGTACAATTTATCAATAGGAAATAAAATTTCCAACAATAAACTGAAGAAATAGTTTTAACTGACTAGATTGATCAAATTATTATATATTAAGCATTGAGCAGAAAATTAAATTTTAATCATTTTAATTTTAGAGTATCGAACGATTCAATTTGATTTAATAATACTAGCTCTGAAGATATGTCAGAATATAGCTGCTAAAGAGACACTTATAGTTAACAATTATTTTATAATTGTGATAAAAATGAAATGAGTATTTGTTAATCTTAATCTGTTAAAATTCAGAGCTGAACAAAAAATAAATGAAAAACAATAATAAAATAAAATAAATAAATTTAAACAGACGGTTTACCAATGCAAATTCTTGGTCCATCTCCAAATGGTAAGTAGGTTCCTCTGATTGGTGGATTTTCAAATCTATCAGGCTTAAATTCTAAAGGATCTGGAAAATATTTGGGATCACGATGTAATGACAAAGTTGGTATTAGGACATTCAGTCCTTTCTCAATGACAGTTCCATCAGGTAAGGTGTAATCCTTCATACATTCTCGGTTTAGGACAGGCACAGATGGAAATATCCTCAATGTCTCTGGAAATCATCACAATGTATAAATTTTATAGAATAGTTGTCTTATATCAAAAGCCTTAGGAATAAATTTAAAAAACACAATGGACATTGTGAACAAAATTTAACCAGATCATTCACATAGTTTGAGAGATGTAGGTGACACATATTTTGATATGTCTACAATATTTAAGAATATAAATTACAAGATTTTATCAAATTTTGAAAAATCTACTTCTAATTGTTTAACTTTAAAATACTAAATGCCTACAAGGCGGTTTTGTAATGTTACTTCCCTCCAAAATTTTGTTTTTGTTTTTATAATATTAACTAACAGTAACATAACTCTATTGTAGTACCAAATGCAAGAGAATTATATCTGAAAGACTTTATTAAGAAATCTGGAACCCATAATATACAATTTTCATTTACCACTCTACTTTGAGTAGAAATTATTTTCTGACTAAATTGGGGTACTAGAAAAAATACATTTTAATGGTGCTAAAGATTTGGGGAAAAACAACTTTTGCTTGAATCACCGTCCCTTACAAAATTAGATGACTCATAACCTACATTTTTGCTATTCTATATCCAACATCTTAAGGCTCATATCCCATGATTGTATCTCATCTACCCACAAAAGGTGGCGAATAACCAACATTTATTTCCTTTTCTGCCATAGTTGGCAATTGGATACATTCTATTCTCCTGCCTCAAACTTTCCCTAGTCCAACTAACTTAACCATTAGCTAGATAAGAATTGTTCGAGGCATTCTGATTCTATATCTCAAACACTGATATTTAACAGTTAGTTAAATTTATAAAAAAAAAATTAGAAATATGAAAAATAGTTTCTGTAATAATAGCTATTTTTAAAAAACTGTCTACAGATGCAAATAAGCAAAAAAAAAAAAAATTACCTGCAATGCAGTTATTCAGGAATTTTAACTCCTTTAAGGAATCAAATGTGAATTGACCATATTTTGCTTTGACCTGTAACACCTCTTTTCTCGCCCTCTCTTGAATTTCCGGATGTTTTGCCAGGAGATAAAATGTGAAATATAATGTCGTAGAGGTAGTTTCAAAACCAGCCAAAAAAAATACAAACGACTGTGCAGCTAATAAATTATCTGTCAGTTCTAAACAAAAAATGTTATTAGAAATGTATTTTCAAATGTATGTGTGATTATATAATGAATGAAAATATCATTATTCTGGGACTAAAGTTCCCTAAGAATAATGAAAAAGTTCAAGAAATATGTACATTAGTCTAGAATTTAGAAATAAAATAAATATACAAAAAAATGAAAATAAAGTAAAATGTTATCTGTAAATTAACTGTTAATAAGCAATTGTAATTACAAAATCTAAAAATTTTTCTGTTCATTATTCCTATAATTGGTGTACTAAGGTTTTATTTGTTGTATAAACTAGGCTATTATCCACCAACATTTTATTTATTAGCTTTTTTATTACAGCAACGTCTCGACCAACACTAGGGCCATTTTCAAGGCTTATTGAGTCCTCCATTAAATGTTCATTATTAAGTGTCATATTAATTTTTCAGAGAAAATTAAGTTGTCCTAATATTTAAGAGTTTCCCCTACTGACAGAGGGACTGACAGAAATGAGGTATACATGGTGTGCCACATGCCCCTACCATGCACTCCCTCCCTCCTCCCCACATCCCTATAAATTGCATATCGTTGTGTTCCTTGTAACTATTTATTAAAAAAAAGCCAATGTTTCCACAAAAAAAGTGAACGAACTGCCCCAAAGTGGGGTCGAAACATGGACTGACGACTTTTGACTTTATCTAGTTTTTTTTTGTCACTGAGAATCAGCATTTGGCTTAATTTCGTCATAATTGTTCTTTTATTAAATGTGGATAGTCAGAAAATAAGAAAACATGAAAAAATATTCAAAAATAATTGGCTTAGGTAGTAAAAAATACAAGTAAAGTCTATTTTTTCAACAACAAAATTTAGTTGAAAATCAAGCGCTGTTTGTAATTAAACGTCCAACAATAACGCAAAACGTGCTGAAATAAAACATCTGGGGAATATATTTCTCTTTCTAAAACACTCATTACTTTTTGAAATATTTTAAGCAGTTCTGTAGAAAATACACTTAACCAGCAGAGAAGCGATCCTGCCGTAGGTGCCTACAGGCCTCTACCACACCACAGTACTCATAAATGGATGGCTTAGTTAAAGTTCTATATTTACGTTTTTGATACATTATATTGATTATATTAACAGAAAAATATTAATGTAATAATTTAATTGCCCAAAAAAATTAAATAATTAATTTCTTTAATTTATTATTTTATTTTTGGGTTCAGATTCGTGTTTTCCCTCATTTTGAGGTCAAATACTAACAATCAGTTAAGGTTATCGAGAAGAACTTATAGTTTCGCCTTTCAATCTTACTTTGTGCAGAGAGAATAATGCATTCAATATTAAAATTCTCAATTTTCTTATGATTTGGCCCAACTTCCGAACAAAATAAAGGAAAATTAATTTTCTTATTTGTGATATCTCAGTTTTATTGAACAATCCATCAACTATTCATCATAAGTAGTTCAGATTAGGTATATATTATTTTATTTTATAAAGCAGGTATTAATATGACTCCGGAAAAGTATATACAACTTGAATTACCTTTAAGAGTCAGTAAATATACATTAAATTGCAAACGTTAAATAAAAAATGCAAGATACTTAGCAAAGTATTTTAGAATTAAGTTTTATTATTATAATTATATCATTTTTACAATAGATGCCTTCATAAACGACCTCCGTATAGAATAAAATAAATTAAATTAAAAAAAAAATAAATAAAAAATAAAATAATAAATTAAAAAAATAAATCGTTTAATTTTTTTGGACAATCAAATTATTCAATTAATATTTTTCCGTTAATACAATCAATATAATGTACCAAAAACGTAATTATACAACTATAACTAATTTCAGCACGTTTTGCGTTATTGTTGGACGTTTAATTACAAACGACGCTTGATTTTCAACTAAATTTTGTTATAGAAAAAATAGACTTTATTGGTGTTTTTTACTACCTAAGCCAATTATTTTTGAATATGTTTTCATGTTTTCTTATTTTCTGACTATCCACCTTTAATAAATGACCAACTATCACGAAATTAAGCCCAATGCTGATTCTCAGTGACAAAAAAAACTAGATAAAGTCAAAGTCGTCAGTCCATGTTTCGACCCCACTTTGGGGCAGTTGGTTCACTTTGTTTTGTGGGAACATTGGCTTTTTTTAAATAAATAGTTACAAGGGACACAACGATATGCAATTTATAGGGATGTGGGAGGGGAGAGGGGGTGCACGATAAGGGCGTTTGGCCGACCGTGCATACGTCATTTCTGTCAGCCCCTCTGTCAGTAGGGGAAACTCTTATCAAGGAGTATCAAGGAAAAGTATCACGACAACTTAATTTTCTCTGAAAAATTAATACTACACTGAATAATGGATATTTAATGGAGGGCCAATAAGACTTGAAAATGGCCCTAGTGATGGTCGAAACATCGTCGTAATAAAATAGAAAATAAATAAAATGTTGGGGAATAATGGCCTAATTTATATAACAAATAAAAAATTCTTACTGGTTTAAAATTTCTTTGGTTGCGGAGATTAAATATGAAGTTGGTGGTGAAATAGGAGTTGTTTATACGAATTTGTGGACTAGGCGGACAGGCATGGAATTCCAAAAGGAGGTAGGACAAATGATGAAGGATTTGCTGAAAGAATTGGTTTTACGGGAGTGGGTATATTGATCTATAGATTGAGATCTAATAATCAGTGTGTGAATAGAGGAACGTAAAGTAAGCAGTTCTAGGATGTAGAGAGGATTTATGGTAAGGGCTTCAAAAAAGAAAACGCCAAGAAATAATAGCTGTTGGGAAGTAGGGTAGAGCACTTTAACTCGATGTACTTGCAGGAAACATGAGAAAGCCTGGGAATCAAAAGGATGAATCTAATAAAGCAATTCATAAGTCTCTTCAATCTCATCTCCAACATTGTAGACAGTCCTCCATATACCAAGCAACCGTTGTCAAAGTGAAGAAAAATCATAAAAGTTAAAAGTAGCTGTCCATATTTTTAGAGAGAGATTAATGTAATCATTTGAGTTCTTTAAGGATAGTTATCCAGTCGATATTCTCATCTATTGAGTTGCCTCAGGCATCTCTGAAGTTTTAAAGAATTAGTAAACTTGGAAATCATCGGCATATGAGTGATCATGGGACTGATGAACGCTAACGGTGTTTCCACCATATTCTTTTAGATTTCCCTTTGGTGTCATAATTTCCCTTTCTCATCATCTGTACGAGCTTAAAAATGCCTGCATTCCAAACATATACAAAATAATACATAATATTAAATGTAACTACTCGTACTATATCTGTTTTATGTGAAAAATTATTAAAATGTGCCCAGATTAGGCTCTGATTGATAAAACTTTTTTTTTTCTTTTTTCTCTCCCAACATTAGAATTTCCATTAAAGGAAATTATTCTCGAAAGTGGAAATCCCGGTCATTAATATAAATAGAGAAAAATGTTTGAGAGAGTGAGGAATTCAATTATTACAAACCTTCTGTGACCAGAAATGTAATTCTATAAACTGGATCATTTAATTTATTAATCATGGATTATTATAATTTTATAACTACACTTCTACTGAACTTCAAAGTTTCTCAGTTTTAGTAAAACTTTTCGTCCAAACTAAGTTGTTTTAAAAAAGTTCTTGTTTAATAATTTTTTAGTCGATAGTGAGTTGAAGTTGGTTATAGACACACATTTTAAATCATTCTAGAAGCCAAGTAAATTTTTAAATGAATTAAGCTTTATTATAAGGTTTTCATGATCGATAGAACTTACCTATTTTCTCATTGGGAGATTCTTTATACGTTTCATCTTTTTCTATTTCTGTAGTATCTATCTCAACCGTTCCTTTTTCTTTCAGTTCAAGAAGCAATTGGACAAAATCTTTTCTTACTACTCCTGTACTTCTCCTAAGATGCAAAATCTTATTTGTTGTGGCAAGGAAAAAATCATTGATTTTTGTTGATACTGTTTTAACTTTAAACCAAAGCAGTAAACGAGGTATAGAAAATCTCAAAATCGTAATAAGCATGTTTATTTTGTCAGGATCAAAAAAATCTCTTCCAGCTTTTCGAAGTTCAGAGTCAGGGTTTTTTAAACAATGAGGTTCAATCCCGTATGCGCAGGAAGCTAAAAAAATAAATAAAAAAGTGTATAGAATTTATGTTCCGTTAACCTGTAATATTAAAGAATTATATATATATATATATATATATATATATATATATATATATATATATATATATATATATATATATATATATAACTGTTCCTTATCATCAAATTGACTTGTGTTTCTCTCATTACGGCTTGCTACTGATACAAGCAATTGAGCATTTGGCCGAGGTAAAAATTTTGGAGGATCAACTGAACTCGAGGTGCGAAAAAATAGGATGAAAATTTTCGGGAAGCTGAATTGAGGTTTTTAATGTACGTGAATGATTTAATTTTCATAAATATATTCCTTTAAATTCCTAAAATAAAATAAATAAAAAGATGTTACAGGGGCATTGGTAATGTTACATGGCCAACAGTTGTGCAAAAAGATGATTGAGCCGAAGATCACGTTCAACTCTAAATTATTTTTTAATTAGGAGTATCCATTTTTTAGAGGTTTGGGTGTGCCTCGCCAGAAGGATCTCAGGACTCCAGGGCCGATCCACGGCTGAAGAAAAATTACTATTCAGCAGCCAGAATCAAACCTGGGACCTTGAGCTCTGGGAGTTTGTGTTCACCCACTGATCAACCCACTCCTTCTAAAAATAAAGAAATATAAAATATATATACTAACACCACACTAACTGTAGAATAATCTAAGTGAAAAGAGTTAGTAGTAAATGTTGGTTTGTAATATAAGTCCTAATACATAAGAAATAGATTAAAAACTCCTTAGACAATATATAGCAATCAGTATTGAACCCAGGATTTAATTTCAGAGGTGGGGACTTCAGCCCGTCTGTATATAAAACGATAATTGCATTAAATTTAAAATATGTAATGCTAAAGGAGTGGCAGAGATGTATGGATTCAAGGACTGTTTCAGAACAGTATCAGAATATCAATTAGAAGATACACGTTTTCTCCATTGTACAAGGTTCAGCTTGTTTGTGTTGCATTCCTTAAAATTAAAACACAATAGAATAATTTGAAAGGATTAAAATCATTGTATAATAAGTCAATTTTTCTTTTTACTAGGAGGGTGAACGTTTTGTGAATGCGTGTTAATTAATGATATGTCTATTTTAAACATGTGCCATTAAAGTACATTTACAAAATATTTGCTTCCTTAAAAAAAAAAAAGCAACATTGGATCATCTAACCTCCTTTTTTATACTTGTATGGAATAGTCGGGAAAAATAATAATAACTTACAAATCACATCAGTAGTACATCTTGCTAATAATTCTTTCATGTCTAAATCCTTTCCATCACTTAATTCGTCAACGCATTCATCAAAAATATCAACACATTTTTCTATTTCTTCGTACATCCACTTCAGCTTAACTTGGCTGAAAAGAGGAGTCATCTTATTTCTCAGGTATCTCCACTTGTTTCCTCTTATAAAAAAGAGATGTTCATCAAGAGGATTCGTTTTCTCATCCACTAGAAAAACTCTGTCGGGAAAATGTTCGAAAGATGTCCTCAGGATGTCATTGATGTATTCCGGATCTCTGATCATGAGTGTAGGAACAATTGCTTGGTAAAAGCCTAGATATTTTTCATTTTCTAGTTTTTTATACATCCTGTCCCAACTTTCAGCTATTAAAAAAAAAAATACATAAATGAACAAAAATATTCATAAAATATTATACTGGTTATAAAATATTATAATGGTTTATTATTGGTGTCTAAATTGATAGTAATTGTGAATCGTTCTAGAATATTTAAGCATCCATTTTTATTTTTTAAAGAAAAAAAATCCACCGTAAATGGAAATAAGTCTATAAACTATAGGGCTTTTACATATTTATATGTAAAAACGCTTTAGTTCCAGACTTAATTACTCAAGTATTTTACTTTTGATAAATATATATGGATGATTAACTTCACAGATATTGTAAGAACAAGTTTGAAATAAAATACACACACACGCACTAGTGTTTTTGACACAAACCTCTATTATACAAATATCTATATTCTCCAACATTCAGAATGCGGTATGCATCCTTTGTCCGTAAAACATAAAGTGTTAAAATACAAAACATGTAATATTCAATTTAATTTCCTTAGATAAGCATTAATGAAATGATTAAATCACTTTCATCAAGAAAGAAAAAAAAATTGGGAAAAATACGACCTTTATGTCATAGCTCAGTTTCTCTGATATTTTATTATTGAATATCTGCAAAGATAAAATTGATTACATTTATAAAGTTTTATATAAATATAGAGTTAAATATTACAGGATTAATGTGAGTTATTGATGGTGTTGCCCAAATGCGAGACCACTATGGTCTTGCACACTCAGTCTTGGTCTTGCGCAAGAGTCTTGTAGTTACCTATTAGCTTATTACTATAGAGATATCACTGTAATTTTTTAGGTAGGAGATACCTAAGTAAGCCCGAATGAAAAATTCGAAGAGTTAACTGCAAAAGTATATAGATTTTACTAATCTATGCGCAGAGTAACTAAAACTGTCAAGTGTTAGTAACTATTTTGCCTTAATTTTTATTCCAAAAATCGATTTCTTTTTACAAGTCTAGGTCTTGGTCTTGGAAAGCGCAAGACCAAGTAACCGATTACCCGATTTTTGGTAACACTAGTTATAGATGAGAATTTATAATCTCCTAAGGATAACGATAACTTAAATTTTTATAAACATCCCTAGGGATAACATTTACAAGAAAATAAGAATCATGAAGAAAATTTGATTGGGGAAATGATATTCAACTTATAGAGAAAAATAATTAACATTTTTAACTTCTAATATTATTAATGATGAAACTAAATAATTATGAACATGAAATGGAAAAAAATATTGATGTGCACAATCTATTGATAGATTTTTATTCAAAACTTTATTTCAAGACGTTGTCCTTTTTTCTGCTGAGTTCATAACGATGTTTTCTGAAAAACAGAACAACAATGAGATAAATGAATTCAACATTAAAACTTTTACTTACTGACGTGTATCTTAAATAATACTCCATCCGGTTCGCTTCCAAGCAAAAATGTAGGTTTTACATATTTGATGTTCCTCTTCTCGAAGTATGAATATATGCTTTTGACTTTGTAATAAATGAAAATGCACAAAGTGGATATAGCTATCAATACGTCAATTTTCCAATCATTTGTAACAAGTCCCATGGTTAGAGCTGAAACAGTACCATAATATAAATTTTGCACAAAGCAGCCAGTATCTAGAAGTAACAACAATATAATTAATCGAATATTTATATTAATTGCAGGATGAACCAAATTAATTATGAGTATTTCCGTAAGTAATCTTGTTTGTTTTCTAATAATTCATTTAACAAATTTGATTTTTATTTATTTTATTTTTTTTTTTACATTAGATGTAAGCTACATATAGCAAAATCATTTCTTTGTTGAAACTTCAAACTAAAATCTTTACATCTGGAATTATCTACTAAAAATGTAGATTTAAAAAAATACGAAACGGGAATAGATCTTATGGGACAAGGATATTGGTGGATGGATTATCTTTTACTTAAATATATAGGATTCTGCTCTCGTAATGGTTATAGGATTCAACTCTATGATTCTCCATAATTTCTACTCATTATTATTATTAGTTCCTAGGATACCTTAGACGGGACATAAGACCGTCACTAAGATCTGCCATGCATCTCGATCTTTAGCCAGCTCCTTGACTCCAGACTAGGTCTTCCGGCGATGCACATTTCCTTCTCTAAAGCCCTCTCTACATTTCTCTAGGCCGTCCACATCTTCGCTGGCCTTGGGGGTTCCAATCTAGACTCTGTTGTGTTATATCGTTCTGTTCCTTTCTAAGCGCATGCCCCAGCCGTCTCTATTTCCGATGTTTAATGACCTGATCTATCGGGGCTTGATTAGTTTGCAAACATAACTCCTGTATTATAGATTGTTTCAGGCCACCATATTCGCAATATGTTCCGAAGACATCTATTGACGAATGTCTGTAACTTCTTGATCACCTGCTTGGTAACTTTCCAAGCCTCCCAAGCATATAGCAGAAACGTTATAACATTTGTTTTGAAGACGCGAAGCTTGATCCCTCTCCTGATTTCTTGGGATCTCCACACTGGCCAAAGCTGTGAGAATGCTTTTTGGGATTTCCTTATACGGGATGTTGGGAGCAACATCTTCATCAGCTCCTCCATCCTGACTCACCATACTCCCAAGGGAGCAGAATTCGGTAACCCTTTCAATTATTTCATCTGATATAAAAAGATTTTCCTGACCCCTGCTATTCACTCGCATCTATTACGTTTAAGTAGAATTTATTTTGAGGCCGGTGCTTTCAGCTTCTTCCTTGCAGTTCAATTAGCTTCTCCTGCATACTCCGGATACTTTGGACGAAATAACATAAGTCATCTGTAAAGTCCAGATCTTCGAGTCTTTCCGTGAGCCTCCACTGAAGTCCTTTTTCTCTACGAAGACCTTTCTTTAAAATGATTCGAGTACCATCAGGAATAAGATAGAGAATAATTCCTACACATATTTAAGCATAACTGTTTTCGATTTGATAGGTCGGGGTGGCCGAGCGAGCTAAAGCGTGTGCGAAACAACCTGATAAACAGAAGTCTCGTGATAAAAGAATAACGAATTCGCGTAGCTAGAGGAGCTTTACCCCTGGCTTTAATCCCCTGTCTTCTCTCCTAGCCCGGGAAAAAATCCGAATAGCCTAAAAGACGAAGAAGCAGAGGACTTCCCCCTTCTCTCCTCCTAAAAAAATTATATACGTTTTATTTTATAATGGTTAGAAGGCTTGAAATAGTTGAGTTAACAGAATTCAGGGATTGGGAATGTTTTCTAATTATAGCGAATTTTTTACTGATGAGGTAAAGAGTTTATTCGGCTAACAGATAGTTTGCCAGATAAATTTAAAACAAGACTATAAACTTTTCATATCTTTAAGAACATATCAAAATAAAATATACACATCAATAAATAAATTAATTATAAATGCTCAATCACAAATGCAAAAGAAGTTAATGTTCCGAGTTTTGCAGATTTGCTCTAGAAATATTCCTCATATTTTCTTATTAAAGAGACTTCTTGCATGTGTTTGAAACCTTAACCTTCATCCTCAGAATCAGAGTTCTGATAACTCATAACTTCATACATTGTAGGATATAAAAAATATAAGATACGTCTAAACAGTGTACAAGCTAAGTATAGACAGTTCAAGGAAAATTTAATTTGAATAAAATATGGAAAAAGATAAATACACTGATTTCACAGATGATGTAGAACAACAATGGGCCAATTGTTCTCAAAGGTAATAAATGCTAAACGTAAAACAGAGATGTTTACAACACCCCGGATGCAGGAAGCGACGACCATTGATTGTTTTAATAAATAATAAATGTTTAATCTTTGGTAAGTCTCGATGCAAGATTTCAATTTTCAATGAAGACTCGTACTTACTTTAAGCATTGAAAGTGACAATACACATTGTCTTTACTGAAGAAAATAAATAACAAACTAAATTCAAAAATACCTACGATTGTAATTGTAATTTCATCTTCAATTCTTCTTCTTCTTTTTTATTTGATTAAAACTATTAGATATGCAATATAACCATTTATCATGAAATAAGCGATATAAAATTTTATTAGTTGCATCAGGGTACATTGTTTTCTATAGATATTTGGTCAGAAGTTCAAAACTATCTGCAAACAAAAAATGCAATTGCATAGAAATATAGTTTTTAATTTAGAATAATTTTTTCAGATAGTTTGCCCTTAAGTAGAAGCATGCTTATATACAGGTCTGCAATATCCAAGCTGGGATCGGATTTTCAACAGCAAGAAGACATATGTTGAAGTTAGTGCTAACAAGTTCATAAGTATAAGTTCACTGCTACTACTATAGTAACACAATTTCCTTTGTCTAATATCAACTCCTGTTAAACGGCGTTTACACATTACCCAAACCATAGCGAAGTAAACGCTCGTGCTTGAAAATTATAGTTGTTCTGGATGATCTCGCATTGGGCCTCGGAATATTTAATGAGATATCGTAGAGGTCGAAATGGGAAGAATGTCCGAGCAAGCTAATGCGTGTGCACAGCACCGTGTATTCCCCGGCTATAAGGAACGAAGATAATCAGATAAATAATTACGTTCCACTGCCCGGGGGTCTTTAACTCTGGCATTAATCCCTCGCCCTCAACCTTCTGGCCCGGGAAAACCACGTATAACCTAAGAGGTGAGGAAGAGTAAGACCAAAAAAAAAAAAAAAAATTGTCGAGTTACATCCCGCAACACTGAATTATCAGAAGGTTTCATCCAAATATTTTTCTATGTTATTTTCAATGGGAGAGTAGTTCATATTATTTTTCTAATTTAATAGAATGGCGAAATACATTTAGTGATGGGAATATCACGAAAAAAACAATCTTTTTTTTTTTTAATTCATATCTTAAACGAACTTCTATATTTTCTGAAGCCATACATAACTGTTGTTTTTTGTTAAATTGACTTTATTCCATTTTATTTTGTTGGGAGAAAACATATCGTGGAATTCAAGAAAAAGCCATTTCCTCCAAATTTGAATTTTATATTAACGGTTAA